TTTTTTTAATTTTTTTGCATCTCAAGTAAAAGGTGTATGGAAGTAAGTACTTGCGAAAATTTCGGAGGTTAAAGAGGTGGGTTCAACACTCGTGTATAAAAAATTTCGTTTCATTAAAAAAGTGAAAAACAAAACACAACGTTTAGTTCAGCTTACCCCTCGAGTACAAGATTTTAATGTTAGTTGATCAATAATCTAAGTAAAATTAATGTTATCATCAGCGCATAGCTTTTATTCAGTCAAATTGTACGAATTTTACTGTTTCTTTGTCAATAAAGTAGATATCTTTGAATACTATTGAAAATCTGCGCTGTGAGTGCTGAAATAATGATTATAGACTAATTTATGTACGTGGATTATTTTTTCTACCAATATAAACAATTGTTGAGTCTAAAAAAGTATCAACATTCAAATGTGTCCACTTTGGCACGTTAAACAAGAAATGAGAGATTTTATGTGAGATTCTACCGTGTTTTTATAATTTATTAACTGTAACCGTACGACTCACCGTATATTTGTCATATACATTATCTGTATATTATAGTGACATTAAAATAAATCTCAATTATGATATGGTCCATTTTTTGAAGTTTTCCCTTACATTTTTATCTATTGACAACAAAGTTGATAATAGATGCACTATTTTTACCGTATGTAAGACCTCATACGAATAAGGGTTAATCGTTGTATGGTTTTGAATTTTGAAACCATGTACATATTGTATTTTCAAGACAATACCAAAGTGTGTTCATTATATTATATTCATTAAAAAACTATCAATTTACTACAAATCATTCATGAAATTATACTCTTAATACAGGAAGAAGAATTTTCTAACATCATTCTAATGTCAAAAATATTAATTCTAAATTTTGTCTTTATAATAGCTACACACCACAGCTGTCACAGTTTTGCTTTTCAATGATGTTTTTGAGTTTGTCATAATTACAAATAAATATTTAAGGGAAGGATGTTTATGTATTCGTGACGTCACAAATGTATCGACCAATAGAGAGTGTTTTGGAATCCCGTGAGATACTATTCAATTTTGAGCATCATCAATAATTAAATTTTTGTAATGAAAATGGCATAAAAAATTGTAAAGAAAATCAGAGGTCTAGATTCAGAAAATAATTAGTTTAAAATTAATAAGAAATGCTGGTTATCAAGACTCTTGTAACAGTGCCACCAGCTAATTCCTAAGCTCAATATCTAACTTTAACATGCATGTACGTTAACGTAAACGAAAATTTATCAATTTCCATGAAATATCTACGTATCTTACTTTAATCACGATTGAAATAAGCATTCACGTCATCTTACCTTTGTCTCTTTCATGTAAGTAACAACAAACCAAAAAAAAGTTCAATCTAGTTTCAGCAAATAGAAAAATGAGATGGTACTTACTAAAAATTTTATAAAAAAAAAAAAAAAAAAAAAATTAATTAAACATAACAGTGTCACAACTGCGTTTATGCTATACGCGTTTTTCAACTTGCCGCCGTGCCGTTACTGTAACCCTTTTGACACGATCACTTTGAAACATTGCGTTGCACGTTTTAATGATGATATCTGGCAAAAAATTATAATAAATTAAAGATAATTGATGCCTATCAGTAGAATTTGAAGAGTCCTCAAGTATGTTCCAATCGATTATCATTTTCGATCGATTTTTCCGTGCGATAAAAAATTTTATTGCTTATCACAACGTTGTCTTTTGAAAAAAAACGCACGGCTTGCGACACAGATTTTATCACTGGTAGAGTTCTAGATTTTTCACAAAACATGGAAAATCTTAGTTATCAAAATTTATAACAAAAAAAATTATTAAAAAATATATTATTAATTAAAATTATACACTGATGATCCGAATGTCCTATAACCAATTAAAATAATAATTATTAGGAAAATCTTTGTACTCCAAATCACTGAAAATTTTGATAATTACTTATAAATACCTCTGAATATGAAGTGTACGTGATTTTTCGAGTACTTTGGTTTTATCCACAAGTAAAAAAAAAAGGTACCACTGAGGATCAATTTTTTAATGCAGATAAAAACATAAATTATTGTACTTTTTCCCAAACTTATGAAGCTGAATTTTTTTCTATTTCATGGAGCTAATAAACGTAAGAAAAAAACTCTCGTTGGCTTCTACGTCATTTATAAAATACAAGGTGACAATCTCTCGATATCATTAAAAAATCTATTCCCCCGTTCAAGATATTTGCATGGAAATGTATATTCTCAAAACACACACTTTTGCGGTCCTTGAACAGCGACTGCACATATATGCCGCAGACCAACGGTACTTTACGGGAAGGAGAAATTTCCAGAACCTTTGAAAATTTTAAACTAATAAAGATCCAACTCCTCGTCGTTGAATATTTTCGTCTATAGAAGTATGAAAGAAGTATTAGACAAAATGACGAACTTTTTCTACAAAAGTTTTGTCTGTCCATGATATATGACAATGGTGACTAATGTCGAAGAATCTAATCAATGATGGACAAAGGGTTTTCATGACAACCATTGACCTGTGAAATGACATTGGAAGTATGGTAAAATTTATGTTTCGCGGATGCGCATCTTGAGACGGCTGTTACATTTTATTGCAGTAAGAAAATAAAATCAATGCGCGATGATTATCTTGATTATTTTCTTCTGCGCGGTAATCGGCTGACGTACTTATGGCGCACCGAGCCCAGTGGTCGATGAACGGACGGCGCTACAGCCGCTCTGGTGTTGGTCTATTTATTCACTCGGCAACAAAACTCGATGTCGTGACTCATGCTTATGCTCAATGAGTTTGTGGAAACATGTTGATTACATCTTTTGCTCCAAATCGTCGTCACGCGACTCTGGTACTCGTGAGGTTTGTCAAGTGTACCTTATACTTACCTCGTAAATGCATTTTTCCTTTGCTTTCCTCGTGTTTTCGATTTATGTGTTGTTTTGAGAAGGGAAAATTAATTTTTGCAGCAAAGTCGTACACTTCGGCAAAGTAGGTTTTTGATCAGGATGAGTTTGTAAGGAGCATGTGACAAGAGAAAGACAATTGTTTCGTGAATTTTATATCAAAATATATTTGTGCATAGACAACATGACAACTGTAAAGGGTAATTCGTATACCCTTTTATTTTCGTCGTATTTCGTATACACACTCGCACACGCAGCAGCTCTCATTCCCGCATTACACCGCATTTGCATTAGGTGCACGTGAATTTTTCATTTCGATTCATTGAACCCTATTAGACGCGCGAATCTCATCAAAAACGTCTCTCTCCATCATTTGCGCTCACATTGTACGTGGTCGCGTGTGCGGACAATAGTTCGTATTTGCATTATCTATCATTTCCTCGTTACTTCCTCTAATACCTGTCTGCAAATACGCAACACTTGAACGCACACGCGTTAACATTGTCGTACTGGTAAACCACATATACATGTATGTATATAAATACACACACACACACATCATTTTATACTCATATTATATATTCTCTATGATATAATATACATTTATGGATAAAGAAATAGTAATAGTAATAATAATGATGATGATATTATTAATATTAATAATAACGACCACTTTCTTTACAAATATATATGTATATTTAACTTTGTTTCGCAAAAAAAAAGAAAAAAACCCTACACGCGGTCTATAAATTTTTTAATCTCACTCGCTCGCACAGACCAGCCAACAGTCGAACGAATGAACAATGAAGCCCGCTTCACACGTTACGGTAACTGGTTTCGGGGCATTAAAAGTCCCAATGGTAACGCTCGCCACGTTATTTTACTCTCCTTCAATACACAGGTATATAAGCGCGTGTCAAAATTTCATCTATACCTTTACGGCGCTCTCACCGTCACCCAATGCACATCGGTTTAATTTTGTATTTCACAGTTGCACGTTACGTTACATCTTTCACTTTCTCGTTCACTCTCACACTTCCGTCATCCGTCGCCTCAATATTCCCGCGCCACACCACCACCTCATTTGCATTCCTTTATTGATGCGCCTTCGAGAAAAATTTATTTCGGCCTACAAAAATATACACATGTACGTACACTCGAATACAAATGTGCGCACACACATGTGTATTTATATATATATGTATATGTATATGTATATATATACGTATGACGCGCGTGTGTATAAGTATCGATAAAAAAAATATAACATGTTACGAATGATCACACTGTTGTACTGCACTGACACGACGGGCGGCGAATTCTTGCGGGCTTTGAAAGTTGCTCTTCGTGTCGCACGACAAATATACATGTACATCTGCCACACGAGAGAGTCGCCGCCGCGAGTCAGGTGTATGTATAATAAAATATATTCTAATAAAAATAATAACTATACGTACGAGGGCAAGGGCGCAATGGGTCTCGTTTCGAGGGGAGTAAGAGAGAGAGAGAGAGAGAGATCTCAGAAACATGTCCAACCCGTGATTAATCAGCCCCTATCGTACGGTCGCTCTGCTATATTTGCATTGTCAACGATTCGTACAAGTATAGCGAGCGTCCTCCCTGCACCGCGCGCACCTTAGTCTTTTTTCCAGTCGATGAGCATCAAAGTTGCATTACAATCGTTAAGGAGTATTGGTGTAAAGTGTGCGCGCGTGCCTCCAACGTGGAATCGGGGCACAAGTATTTCATGTACTTGGGCGCAATCGAGACGTTAGTCCGTATTTAATGAGTCGGGGCAATAGCGCCCAGTCTTGAGGTGAGAGAGAAAATAAAATATAAAAATAGGTAGTACGATGAGCGACGTCACGTTCAAACGAAAAGAGAAAGGTACGAGAGAGTCCAGGGCAAGGGGGGAAAAGGGGGACCGCACAAAAAAAGGGGGTCCAAGACCCCCACGCACCGGCGAGGATGCACAAGAAAACAAAAAAAAAAAAAAAAAAAAAAAAAAAAAAAAAAAAAAAACAACTTGACAATGTTGCTGGTTATATAGAGAAAAAAATAAAAAAAAAAACAAAAAAAAAACAACTTGACAATGTTGCTGGTTATATAGAGCACACGGGGGATCACTTGTCCGTCGTCGTCGTTGTCAAGATGATATTGTTTTCCGGCGTCGCTACATCGGTGGTCCGGCCACGTGCTGCTGGTACTGGTCCAGGTGCCTCGTGATCTCCCGCTGAAGCTGCTCGGGCACGCCGCCTACGCTACTGAAGAGCGAGCGCAGGACGTTCAGCTCCTCGGAGAGTATTTCGACCCTCTTGCGCAGCATGTCGTTGTCCTTGACGAGCTGCTTGACCCGCTCCTCGGTTTCGCGCGAGCGCACTTTCGCCTTCTCGCGGCTTTTGCGCACCGCTATGTTGTTGCGTTCCCGGCGCCGGCGGTACTCGTCGCTCGCCTTGTCGACGCTTTTGTTCTGCTTTCTCGAGCCCGATGATCCCCCGTGGCCGTGAGCCCCGGCCAGGCCGTGGTGTTGCTGCTGGTGCGCTTGCAGCTGGTGCGCCAGACCCACCCCGACGGCCGAGGCCACTTTGAGGCCCCCCCGGACCGGCTGTTGGCCGTTGTTGGCCTGCTGCTGCGGCTGTTGCTGGTGAATCGCGGCGACGACGGGGTGTCCGGGCACCGTAGTTGGGGTCAGGGTGGTAAAAGTCGGGCCGGTCGTGGCACCGGAAAATGGCCCCGGCACGTTGGCGGCGGCAGGGTTGTAGGCACCCGGGGCGTACTGCTGACAGTGCCGGCGATAATCGGCGGGGTCGAGCGGCTCCTCCTTTATGCTCGGCGACTCGCTGCTCGAGTTGCTGTTGCTGTCGGTGCAACTGTTGCTGCCCTGGTGGTAGCTCGCCGCGCTGTGCACCGGTTGGGGCATGTACGCGAGGGTCGTCGACCGGGGGTAGCCATTGGTCCCGGGCAGTCGAGCCTGCTTGAGCTGCTGCTGTTGGTGCTGATGGTGCTGGTGGTGTTGCTGCTGGCCGGCGCCGTTGTTCAACATGTCGAGGAGACCATCGCTGAACTGCGAGTCGTCGATCAAGCGCTCGAGATCCAGCGAGATCTCTGGATTATTCAAATCCGTCAGCTCACCGGCCGTGTTGGCGCAATGCTCCGCATACTGTTGATGCACGCTCGCCTTCGAGGCTGACACTTTACTCACGCCATTCGGACCCTGGTGTTGATTGTGGTTCACCTGAAGGCTCGAGTTGTTGTTGTTGTTGTTGTTGTTGTTGTTGTTGTTGCCACTGTTGTCGTTGTTGTTGGCATTGTTGTGCGTGCTGTTGTGATTGGCCTGATCACCGATCAGCTGGTTCGATTTTTTCAACTCGATGGCGGGCTGCTGCTGCTGTTGGCCCATTTGATGAGCTTGCGTGTCGTACATGTTTGGTGAATCCATCACACTCGCGGGAGCCTCAGGAGAACATTACCGCTTACTGTTGCGTGGTCTATTTTTTTTTTATCACTCACACCACACAATGAAAACGAAAATAATTTTCTTTTCTTTTTACAACAAACTCGAGCTACGATAGGATTATTTGAGAAAAAAAAATGACAAACACTGCTGTCAAAATTTAAATTCCCCGAGCACGAGTTTTCCGAAGAAGCACTGAAAACTTGGCTCTCGATAGGAGCTTGCAACTCGCGTTGACAACACTATACCGAGCGAGTGCCCAGCCAACTGTGGTGTCGCACGTGCGGGGGAAGTTTACCTACTTCAACCGTATCGTACAGCTGACTGGCCGACTATGCCGGGCAACGATCCTCGATCCGACTCGGGGAACAGTTGGCGTGCAACTGAGCGCTTCCACGGCATGTCGCAAGCTTTCAATGTAGCCAAGAGGGCAGCGCGCGCTCTCCCGGTATCCCCTCCGCGCCTCCACCAGAGAGCCCGTTCTGTCGATCCGATTTTCTCTCTTTCTCATCCTCCGTATGCTTACCCCCCTCCACCCACGTGTCGTCCTCACTCGGCCCCTGATGGTAAGCCAACTTTTTCGGCTGGGTATCACGTATACACCTATACGTACACCTATGCACCAATATATATATATGTATATTTATTGTCCGTCGGCGAGCTGACGGAGTGGCGGGTCTGGCGAGTGCTATCTTACTATCTCCTTCTCTCTTTTGTTATGTACCTACACAAGTATATGTCAACCTATCACACGATAGGAGCATCGTTCTATACGCTAGTATTTTATAACCAATGTACAATATCTATATGTACACGTGTAGGTGCTTTCGCTCTTTTTCACCGCGCCTCTAGCTCCACTTCCTCTCCTCGACCACGGAGTTGGTTCTAAAGCGGCCCTGATTTGTTTTTGTTTCTCTACTATAATTGCCACCTTGCACGTTGTACCGTAAGTATAGGTATACTTTTTTTTTATTTTTTTTTTTTTTATTTTATTTTATGTATACAACGCAGTGTCGAACATGTCCTTTCTTTTGTATAGCACTGAACACTTGAGAAAGGGATGATCAGAAGAATGAGTTGGATTAGGGAGAGAAGGGGGAAATTAATGTTTTATGCGAGCTCCATATCTTTATAAGGTACGGACACTACAATTTAACTTTTAGAATTGGAACGCGATTTGAACACAATTGATTCAAATGCTTACCGCAGCTGACGTGTACGCTGCTGATTGTAGAAGCTACAACTCTAAAGTCGATATATTATACCTCGTACCTATGCGTACTACACACACACACATATATATATATATATATATACTGGTATAATTATACTGGTATAATTATAATATCGGCTAGACGTTATCGATATTTTACTTCTACTATTTTTTCTAGCTCCAAAATCACTCTCGGACTTTTCAAAAGTCCGGATCAGCTGCGATGCTGTTATTTTCGTTGTTACGCAATTTTCATTATTGCCGCGGCACAATTGCGCCGAGTTCAATTTTACTTTGATCCGGATAGTATTTTCCTCGATTCGGCGGCGAGCTGATAATACTTACTTGTATACTTGTACCATACAAGTATCTCAGTGCACCGCGCGATCGATGTTATCTGTACCTCCAAAACTATAAGCGATTTTCCTGTTTACAGGCTTAATTGCAGATTACACCGTGCCGGGCCGTGTTATTATGATTTTCGATTTCTCCTTGACCAATGGCAAATTTGAGTTTAATCCGAAATTGATTTTTTTTTTTCCCCCCTTTCCCTGGTATTCGTTTCATTGGTAGACCGGGCACTCGAGTGAAAAATAAGCTGTCGAGATATATAGAAAAACGAAAATGAGCGATGCACGCACCGCGAGATGCCAATGGGGCGAACCCGAGATACGTGCGGTACATGCGCGCATGTTACAAACAAGCCGTTTGCCCGATTAAGAGTACAAAATACGCGAAGAGCGGGTCAGGCGATATCAATTATTTTCCAGGCGATAAGCCCAACTCGCGGACGTCAGAGAGCAGTCGAAAATACGATACTGCAGCGCACAATGGTATATATGTATACGTATGTATATACATATATTGCTATTAGCGCGGGAAAGCGGCAAACAACTATATACTGCGATCTTTAAAGAAAATCTGTCGTAACACGATAAGCCCCGTACCTCGTACTTATTAAGTTTAGTGGAGATGACTCGACTACCAAGTATGCTTTACTAAGTATTCTCCCTAATTTCACTCGCCGCAAATACTTAATCTTAAGCTCGTAAACCAATTATAGGTTCATAGATGCCTATACACGTATGCACTTGGGCACGAATATTGGAACACTTTCCAAAATCCAGGCTACGCACGGTTTGTGTAAGTTGCATTCGACACAAATGTCTTGTTAAAAATACACAAATTTAATATTGTGCATTTGTTAATATTATTTTAACCAAGAAAATATATAAAATTACCGTAATTTTGACATTTAATTCGTGTCATTCTGTAAATTACACAAAACTTTAAACTGTAAAGAGAAGTGGGGAGTAATGTTAATTCCCCCGCCCTTCTACCATATATATATATACATACAGTTGAAATCAAATCGAACGGGAGCAATAACACTCGCTTTTTGACTTATACTTACACGTGTGTATATTTATAATACCGGCTCATAGCTGGGGAAAAAGTTTCCGACCGCTCGACTTTTTCCTCTCTTTCTCGAGTTGTCTCGTTTGCAACGCGATTATTTTCATCGGGAGTTATACTTACACGCGTCGTGGGCTTGTATACGCAGGCACTCATCCGCCAACACATACGTGCGAGAAAGTGACTACATATGGTAATGTATAATATGAGATTTCCGAAAAACTATTTGGAGGCACTTTCACCTGAACACGTGTCCATACATGAACACCCATACTATGAGAGAAGGATTTGCTTAGTATTAATGTATACAAGTATGTTACTAAAAATTAGTTAACAGCTAGGTTCTATTTTCAAGCTTTTTAACTTTTAACTGCACACAGACGGCATGTTATTAGTTAACACGCCATATTTTCGTTGATCCTGCGACAATGTGAGATGGTGCCATATGTGACACGGCGAAAAGCTGATGTTTTGGTATTATACTAAAAAATTATGAAGTTAAAATTATCAGTTAAAATATCATTTTTGTACATGCGCTGCGCAGAACGTGTCTAACATTGACGTTTTCTTAATTCAACGGTCTCTGCTACTCGTATATGCACAGTTGGACCTATCGCATAGAATCATTGGATTCTCTGATGTCTTAAGCGCGAATAATCGATATCCTAATGATAAATATATTTAAAAAACACGGAGAGACGCAAGTGTCGTTCGCACGCAAGTTGCTAGTTGAAAGCTCGAGGAGAGGAGCCGCGCGTGCTAGAGATGTGCCATACGTGTGTACGATTTATCGTGGCCGCGTCGCGCTATACGTCGTGCTCCGAAAATAAGTGCAGGCTGCGAAAAAAAAAAAAAAAAAAAAATCATTCGCTATACACTGCACGGTCATCATTTAATAATGCCAATAATAAGATTGCACGGGGTTGCGCAATGGCAGGCAACAGTTGCATCTTAAAAATCGATCGCCAGATCCGCACCTATCGGAGCGAGCCAGTATCAAAAAGGGCTTGCAAGTAAGTCACGGAATGTTTTTTCTCGCATCGTGCCACTGCAGAGCCCACTTTCATGCGTCCATTTGCTCTTTGGTGGGTGGTGAGGCTGATTTTGCGCATCGCGGAGCGTTCGTCAGGTATACCTAAAGGGCCGGCCAGCTTCAGTCCACGAGCCGAGTTCTCCGATTGGCCGCTTGTCTCAGGGGTGGCTCGGCAGCGCGCGCCACCTGTTTGCGGACCGGAAGCTCTCCCCTCCCACCCCTTGCGGCACAAACATGCCCCTACGCGCAGCAGTGCCGAGGGCGTATCGAAGACCGTGAGGTGTATACTCTTGCTCTTCTCATCTCGCGTCCTGCTTCGCTCGCACAGGCCACTCCTACTCGTGTATATAATATGCCCGCTCCTTCCTTGCGCATCGACTATACATATAACATACACATACATAATTCCGATCATGTGACCTGGAAGCCCACGATTCGCGATGGACGGCGATGGACGACGCAGTAACGACGTTCTTTGCCATTTTTTCGCGGTAAAGCCACCTACTTTTTTTCGTACGATGCAAGTAAGAGCCGTGGTAATGAGCGTTTGAAGAACCATAAAGTCTATGTGGATTATTATAAGGAAACTGTATACGTATTCAGATGTCACTACTTGGACGGGTCATTTTTTTCCTGAGACAATTGGCACAGGAAGAGTATAGAATGAACAGCTTTTCTGTCGCAAATTTTGCACATTGACTTGGTTTACAATCACTTATTTGAATGAAAGTTTATTGTTAAATATTTCAATACTTTTTCAAACGCTTTGATTTTTTTTTTCTACAATCTTTTTTTTTTCTTTTAATTGGTGAAACTTTATTAGGTTTTATAATCTCCTTGTGCAATGAAATTTCTGCTGAAAATTGGCAGATTCTACAAAGTGCATTGTCACTTCATAACAAGTCAATTTTGAAAAATTCAATGATTTGCAAAATAGTTGTATCCAGTTCAAAAAATATCAATATCATACAAATTACTTTCTTGTTTTCTGTGCTAAATAAGTATAGTATTAGAAAATTTCGGTTGTCGGAAATGAATTTTGCATATTTTTTTTTACAACCACAAAAACGATTTACTATTGAGTAACACTAAATTTTTTGTCGTTTTAATTTCCCTGTCAAACTAATATCTAACTAGTGACTATTGTGCTTTTACATGAGATATGCTACTATGAATATTAAAAAAAATAAGAGTAAAAATGTAATAGATGCATTTTTTTTTAAATAATAGCCGTAGGTCAGCAGCTGTAATAATGTTTCGATAACATTCAACTTGATGCTGAATGAAATTTAGTGAGTTATTTTTTCAAAAAATATGTTTGGTAGGAATTTAAGTGGGCAAACTTTACTCTTGCCTTTTTATAAAAAGACGAATTGAACAATAAATTATTCCAACACAAATTGAATAAATTTTTTATTTAAAAGGAGAATAACAAAACTACTTATTGAAATATGTACAATTAGAAATTGTAAAGTGTACACGAAGCGCACTTGATCTGTCAAGTTTATAAAAATATACACATTTCTGGTGAGAATTAATGGAGCGATTTGGATCTGAAAAAGTTCTTCAACGCCTCATAAAAACTTCTTACTTTTGGTAGTTACCCAAACAAAAATTAAATAATTAATAATAAGTGATGAAAATCGATAAAAAATAATTATTAGAGACTGAGGAGAGAATTTAATAACTGTTATAGTTAGTTATACTTAGTTTTTTTATT